GATGAACTCGAGGCAAGAAAACCGCTCAAAGCTTTCTTTCTACAGCCAAAATTATAACTAAATACTCTTCGGAAAGCTTTTTCGTTCTATATGCGGAGAGAAAATATCGACTAAAGGCTTTTTAAAGTTCTGTAAGCTTATATATACTAGATCAGATCATTGTCTCAGATCTTAACACAAACGTGCATAAATTAGCCTGATAAACTGCGCTCGACTTCATGAAATTAGATATAAAAAAACAAACATACACTGTATACAATAATTACTTAGGCTTACCATTCGAGATGCAGCTCTTGAAAGCTATAAAGTAAGGCCAGAATCGCTTGAGGGACTTTTCAACCCGCATCCAGCACGGTAAAAACGAAAGCGATGCATCCGAAATCGGATTTCCAACTTTGGCAACCGGCGCATTTCCCGACCAAAAATTCAATAAACAAACCAGCCATGAATCAAAGAAGACTGTTGATAGCAGCTGTATTTCATTTTAAGCATCCAGTGGAAAAAGACAGTAAAAAACATCACAAGTTGACAAAATACTCTGTCAGCTTCAGCTGTCAAACTCAAAGTAAACAAGGTTCAAGATGCTGTATAAATTTTCTGCATGAAGTCACCTGTCAAATTTTGACCAATCAGAGCATAAAAATTGGACGGTCGTAGAGCGTGATCAACGCGTGACTATGGTGAGAAAAGTGAAAAGCCTCTGTCTTCCCTGCTTGTATTTTTAAATGACTGGCTGAATTTTCGAGTCCGAGATCAGTTTGACATCAAAATGTTAATAGCGCGGGGCCATAGTGACATTAACACAACACTTTCTGTCATCATGTCATTATTTTGCTGCCGTTCTCTTTGCCTTTGTATTTCTCTTTCGCGCTGCCTTTGTCTGTTCATTCTAGCTCTGTCTCGTTCTACTTGCCGGCGTTTTTCACTATAATTTTCTCTCCTTCTTCTCGCTCTGACTCTTTCTACTTGCTTTCTTTTTTTCAAAACCAGTTGCGCGATATAATTGCGCGACGTTGCGCCATGCGATTTCCTTCCAAAAAAATCTGTACTTTCCCCTACCCCAAGAGGCCATGCGGACTACTTTCCACTACCCGGAAAGTCCGTACGGACGGACGTACGCTACGTCATAACCAAATTTTCTGGGATGGATAGTTTACCAAATTTTCTTACCCATGGTGCTCCGCTGCGCGCGCGCGAAGCGCGCGCGGGAGCTCCGCTATTATACTAAGCCTTTCTAAAATATATGTTACAAAGTAGAATTTCACCAGTCTATTAATCTGCTGTGCCGGATTTTACACATACGACTCGGACGCTGAATTATGTTATTGTAACAACTTTCAGTAAGATAAAATTGATGCAGATTGTCAAATTGATAGCGTCTGACGTCCCTGTTGTTCGTCACGAGGTACAACTGTGAAGAAGGTAACGTCTGAGGATCATTAAAGGTGGTCATATTGAACGAGGTTTTCGAATAAGGAAATGACAGGACATTTTCGAGGCAGCAACAGATTCGTCAAACTTAAAAGAGGGGAACAGGGTCGTATTAACGTATAGTGTTAATATGGTAGGGGTCCAAAGAAAAAATAAAGATAATTAAGAACAGATACTAAGTAATCTTGAGCTGCAGAGGGGAAGTGAAAAGTTGAACTGACAAGAAACGAAAAGAAATAAAAAGGGACTAAAAGATCATCGCACACTGACATTGTTAGCAGCCTTTTTTGTTTTTATTTTTTTTCTCGCTAATAATAGCCAGATTCTGTTTTCTTTTCTATACCCAGATTCTTGTAGAGCAGTCAATTTGCAGGCGACCAGATGTAACAGGCTAAATAGACAAACAGAGCCCACAAAGATGGGGTTAATCGCTAGTAGTTGTAAAAGAGGTTAACAGTGAAAAAAGCAGGTCTCCAACCAAAATTTATCATTTAGAGCGTTTCGAAAACGCTTGTTTAGAACTTTTGGCGTCTTCTCCCCTCGTTGCTAATATATTTGGTTCTTTATATCCAGGAAAGGTACAGTCCTTGGAGTCCTACGAGCCTTAAACAATTTTGTAACCACGAAAATTAATTTTGCGGAACTTTTTGCATATGTCTGTTAACTGTAAAGAAGAGAAATTAAATTTAAGCCGTAGAAAAGTCATATTTATGGGCAGTATATCAGAGCATAATATTTTGCAGCTACTCTTGTTTTCAATTTTTAAAGTCGGTCTAGCTAATTATAATTTTTTTTTTTATCTTCTTTCAAGAGATAAATGTATTTCTCACTATTTTGTCGCCCAATTTTTGAAAATAGCGATAAATATGATTGAAACAACAAGCCGGGAAGAGAAGAACTTACCATCCAAACAGCCGAAGCAAATTCTCAAAGAATGCATGTACAGCATAAAGAAAATACCGTAGTGAAGAGCAACACCCATGATCGCTGCCTTGTTCGCGGATCGCAAGTCTCCTGAAAAGTCGAGTGCATTAAGTGCGGTTAAGCTAAGACGGGGATGTAATTTATACTCTACCGGTAAACAGTTCCATACCACCCGTCGCATTTTAACATTAACGTCAAAACTTAAGGTGGCTCCCTAGAGTAAATCGGCCGTGCGCAGCCTGGGTACTAATATGGCGCGAGCTTTAAAATCCGCGCGACGTCCACGCAAAAATAAAAACAAAACATGGCGTCTCTTTTAAGAAAAATTGCGCGAAAAAACTTTGTCAACTTTGTTAAGGCAAGAAGATTGGCCAGTTTTAGACAAACTTTTATCAAAGGAGATGTTTTACGAGTGTTAAGCAATTTACCGGCATTCATCGATCCTCATAACAGACATAAGCGTGAATCGCATCGTAAACAAAGAAGGAACTTTCCTTGTACCTTGTTCGCAGTCTTGGGGATAGCTGCGGCTACCTCTCATAATACAGAAGAAGACTCTCTGCCCACATCATCCGTCAGTCAGAGCCTCTCTGTTACTACTCCTTCGTCTCCTTCGCACCAGGTAAAGCGTAGCGCAAGTGGTCGCTTCGCGAAAGCAGCGAAAGGAACTCCTAATAAAATGGCACTGATGCAACAAGGATACCGAAACTACATGGCAAAACGAAAGCTGGATTTTGAAAACATAACCGACGAAAACGAACCACCCTCTAAACGCAACACAAGGAGTACTCAGGTAAGCACGGCGGTGACTTCTTGTCTTCAGAAAAATTTTATCAAAAGTACTAAGCGCGCGTTTATGCTAATCATTGGAAACATCAAATCTTCATGCTTATAACAGGCTGCCGCCGAAAAAGAAGCAGCTCTTCCCCATGGAACTCGTCTAATTGACCTTGACACATTTCGGAAACGTCTCCAAAGCTGCACTCACTGTCAATCAGGTAAATGTATGTACTCTTTCTAAATAAAGCCTGACCGGAATGGACTTTGCTGGACCGGACTTTAACATTTGCTCTTCAGAAAAAATTATAATATAATCTACCATTTTGTGTTTGCTTATTAAATTAAGTATCTACTGTAAACCCACAAGTTTTTGTTTATCACAAGACTTTATTTCAATCCTTTGTAAAACCTACCATGCACCCAGTCCAAAAAAAAAAAACAAAACAAAGGATAATGCATTATATTATGCACATACATATTTTTACCCCTTCTAAGCATTCATTGTTTGCAAGTGACCAGTATTATTTCCATCTACTCCAGGTATAATTTATACCCTAGTTTGACAACCAAACCCTCTTAAAAGCATCTGGAAAAATATCACGGGTAGGAGCAAAAAAAGAGTAGGAATTTCTTATGCTAGAATACATCAAATATGCTAGATGTGTTATTCACACAAAGCCTTTTTTACTTCACTTATCATATTTAGGTCCACTTTCTTTTTACAATGTGAGGGATGAAGTACGCCATGGCCTAGCTAGCACATTTGTGATTATTTGTTCAGTCTGTGGAAAAAACAATGAAATCAAAACTTCTGAACAACACAAATCTGGTCAACGTGGTCCTCCTGCTTTTGACGTAAACACACGAGTGGCCCTTGGTTGTCTTCATGCGGGTATTGGCCAAACACATATAAACAACTTGCTCTCTACTTTGAATGCCCCAACTATAAATTCTGTCACTTTCAAATTGAGGGAAAGAGAGGTAGGAAAAGCTGTTGAAGGTGTTGCAAAAAGTAGCTGCCAGGATTATTTGGTAATAGAAAAACAAGAAGCCCTGCAAAATGGTGTTCAGGTTGATGATAATAATCTGGTGCCTATTTCATGTTCCTATGACATGGGCTGGCAGAAACGCGGCAAGGGGCATAACTCTCGCACTGGTCAAGGAGCAGTTATGGGGTTATCTTCTGGTAAAGTGCTGGACTATACAACAAGGACAAAAAGTTGTAGATTTTGTGACAGTGCCAAGGCCATGGGAAAAAAACCCAAAGCTCATGACTGCCGAAAAAATCATGAGGCTTCATCGAAAGCAATGGAGCCCGCTGCAGCAGTTGACTTGTTTAACAGAGCTCCAGACCAAAGTGTTAAGTTTTCAGTTTACACAGGTGATGATGACTCCACAACAGAGGCACACATACGAGAAAAAGTAACCTACGAGGTTGAAAAAAACAGTGACATTATACATATGAAAAGATCCCTCACAACACGTTTATACAACCTTAGTCAAAATGAGAAATTTGACAATTGTTCCCCCTTATCTCAAAAGGTGATAAATTATTTAGTGAAGTGTTTTTCATATGCTACTGCTCAAAACAAAGGAGATCCAAAAGGGATCCAAGCTGCGATTAAGTCAATTGTTCCCCACGCCTTTGGAGATCACTCCAACTGTGAAACTAGCTGGTGTAAATTTAAGAGCAACCCAGGAACCTACAAACACAAAGAGCTGCCATATGGAAAAGACCTGCATGGAAAAAAATTGAAATTAGAACTAAATAACATCTTCAATGACTACTCTACTGATGCTGTGGCAGAGAAGCTTGCACCTTTGACAAATTCCCAGCGAAATGAGGCGCTTAACAGTGTAATTGGATCGAAAAATCCAAAAATAAGATTCTATGGTGGAAGTGAAAGCAATGATTTTCGTGTGGCCTGTCGAGTCGCTCAGACAAATTTAAGATATACCTATATCAGCAGTACACTTGAGGCACTCAATATTGAGCCTGGCAATTTCTGTGAAATGTATGGAGAAAAAATGACTAATCATGTTCAAAAAGATAAACTCAGAAAATCTTCTTTGGCTTATAAACGGGGAAGAGCCAATGCCCGCAGGCAAAACAGTGCACAAACTGCTAAAAAAGAAGCAAAAGAAGGAAAAACATATGAAACCAGAATTGGACTGAACCTAGATCTGAGCATCTTGCCTGCAAGTACCATGAAAGAAATTGAGACCATTGTTTCACCATACACTCCACGACCACTGGCAACAAAAGTGAAATATGATGAAAACAAATTTTATAACTTCTTAATTTTTGACACTGAAACAAACACTACAGGAAAATCTGCTGAGCTCTGTCAATTATCAGCTACTGACCAAACTGGCCTTTATCAATTTTCAACTTACACTTTACCTGTACATGACATTGATCATTTCGCGTCAAAAGTAAACAAACTTAAAATAGTCAAGGTAAGTGGCGAAAGGAAACTTTACAAAGACAACAAAGAAGTAAGTACACTACCGTTGAAGGAAGCAATGTCACAGTTTCTTGGCTTTGTTTCACGGTCAGTAGAAAGAGCCAAGTCACGCACAAACAAGAATGTCGTAACGGTGCTCCTAGGTCACAATTCTCTCACATTTGACGTTCCAGTCCTGTTAAGAAATTCTGAGAGCGACTTTAAAGAAAGATTACAGGCAATGGACGTTTTCTTTGCCGATTCTCTCACGTTGTTTAAAACACTTGTCAGAGAAAAAGTTCCCTTCTTGCAAAATCCTGATGGAACCTTCCCAAAGACGAACCAATCATCACTGTATTCTTTCCTGTTCCAAAAGTCCTTCAACGCACACGATGCTTTAGAAGATGTTTTAGCACTACGAAAAATACTTTTTGAGTCACGGATAGACCTTTCGGAGAAAACTGTGGTCGAGAACTCGGGTGTTGTAAGTGCAAGCCACGCAGCTGAGGACGTGATTTATTTGGATCGCCGCCATATTCTAATGCAGACTTTCAAAGGAAATCTTTATCATCCGCAATACCTCAAGAAGAACATGATTGAAAAAATATCCGGGAGTGGGCTGGCATTTCAAGATCTCCGAAAGAGTGTACAGCAGGTTTGGAAAAGAGGGGCTGATTGCGACACTTTCACAACCACCTTCTTCATCGCCATTGCAATCACCACGAGTGACCACCACCGCTCGAATTTTGGCAACAATAGTCAAGTACTTTGAAGAACATAACTAGTGTAAGCAACTAAATAGAATTTTCCATCTTCTCGTTCCATAACTGGTGAGATATCACTGTAATCACCGGTAATTATACCAGTAAAATGGTCTTTGGTAGAAAGCACATGTTCCATACAGCTATGTCATTATGCGCATGCGGGCGTGATGGCTCGCGCGCGTATTTCGCTCACACGACCCCGAACCACGCGTGTTTTTCGGATTTTTGTGACGTCAGCGCAGTTAATTAACTGTGAATTTCTCGCGTTTCCTTCGGTAAATTTTTTTAAAAATCGCCTCATTTCTTAACAGTCGCAGTACCTTTGTACTGTTATTTTTTTGTCAAAATCTGTAAGAGCTAAACTCCTCTATTAAGAAAAATTACAAATTTCGAAATATTGGCAAAACCGTCTTAACGACCCCATGTTTTTTCCACTTTAAAATATTAAGCAATATCGTTAATATAAAGTGGCAAAGTTTAAAGACATTTCACCGCGGTAAATTAGAAATATTAAGGAAAAATGGGCAAAAATGACAAAATTACTGCCTGTTTAAGGATGCGATGTTTCCATGGTAACGGCCTTTATCCAGAAAATGAGACTTGATAAAGGAGCCTTCTTATATGCGTAACCTTAGCGGTGAATCTCGTGAACAAAATCGCAAAGACAAAGTAACTAGATTTGCTTCTGTAACGTATGCTTCATAGCTAGGGTTATTAGTAAATACTCTAGGGAGCCACCTTAAATTAATTCTTTGTGCTAATCGCTGGAAACATTTTACTGATATTTCACAGTTAACACGTAATATACACAAACAGAGACAATTCCAGATCTATTGAAGATGTAGCTTTTCTAGCGTTAACTGTGCTCTTGTTAATACCATCTTTAGATTCCTACAACGTTTTTGGTAAACAAAATTTGGTATAAATTAAAGTTGTAAGGTTTTAATGATCTTTAATAACTCTGTTTCAAAATATTAGGGCCTAGCCGTATGGGCCATTGTCGCCGGGCTATCTCAGACTCGCTATGAAACTTTTTGATATGAAAAATTGGGTAAATTTTAATATATAGATTTAGCCACAGCTAAAAGCGAAGCTCCCATTGATAAATTTATAACTTAAATCAAACAATAATTTTGTATTCTACGAATCAGTTAACTTAAGGGCACATTCATGTGACTTTTGAGGGAAAAGCTAAGTGATTTTGGAGTGAAACAAACCCTGAATCGAGTTGATATAGCCTTATATGTACAGCCAAATAAAATAGTCTTCGGTCACATTTATGAGCAATAATGGCTCTTGATCACAGTAGATAAGGCGTGGAAAACAAATCAGGCCGAATTTTTTTGCGTTCGACAAGTTTACAAATTCTTGTCAATAAATCTGGGTGCGTGCAAACCATCCTTTTATTTATTTATTTTTTTTTATACACCACATCTGAGGAGAAAGAGTACTACGAGGCGCTTTTTTTTATCACACAGACCTCGTACAAAATGCAGTATTTCACAATTTTTCAAGACAAATTGCATTCATTCAATACTCAGGACCATCGAAGCACGCGTGGACTTTTAATCAACGAAACCGTTCAAAAAATGTTCAAACTCACCTATACGGCCAGCCGGTTCTAACTTTTGACAAGCGCCAAATTTGCGAAACAATTTTAAAAGAGTTACGCTTCAACGAGATAAATTAAAGAATTTATTGAGCCTATTTTTTCTTAATGGTTTTATAACGATGTGTAAACTTAAAAAGCGTTTGATACGCTCGGTATTTTGAGTACTCCTGCTAGCGATGTTTTTGAACGGCTGAAAACAAACGGCAAAGCGATGAAAATTACACTTTTGAGACTACCAACAATCAATAAAGAAATATAATTCGGTAGAACATTTACAGAGACAACAATTTTCATTCACGAAAACAAATGAGTATTTAAGTGTCTCTAAGAATCCTCAAGTCTTTACTAGTAAGCTTAAAGATTAAGTTTATGTTTTAACCCGCCGGTTTCCCGGTGTTTGCCTTTTTTAAAGATGAACTCAAGACAAGAAAATCGCTCAAAGCTTTCTTTCTACAGCCAAAATTATAATTAAATATTCTTCGGAAAGTTTTTTCTTTCTATTTACGGTGAATTAATATCGACTAAAGGCTTTTTAAAGTTTTGTAAGCTCAAGCTTATATCAAACCTCATACTAGGTCAGATCAGTGTCTCAGTCAAATCTTAATACAAACGTTCATAAACTAGCTTCATAAACTGCGCCGCTGGACTTCATGAAATTAGATATAAATACAATAATTACTCAGGCTTACCATATTTCGAGATGCAGCTCCTGAAAGCTATCAAGTAAGGCAAAGATCGCTTGAACCTTTACAATTCTCGTACGCATCCAGCAAGGTGAAAAACAAAAACGATGCGATCCGAAATCGGATTATCGGCTTTGACAAGCGACGCATTTCTCAACCAAAAACCCAATAAACAAACCAGCCATGAATAAGAGGACACTCTTGATAGCAGCTGTATTTCATTTTTTACATCCAGTGGAAAAAGACAGTTAAAAACATCACAAGTTAACTCAAAACTCTGTCAGCTTCAGCTGTCAAAGTAAACAACTTTCAAGATGCTGCATAAATTTTACGCATGAACTCACCTGTCAAATTTTAACCAATCAGAGCATAAAAACTGGACGTGGAGCGTGACCAACACGTGACCATGGTTAGAAAAGGTCTTACCCGCCTGTATTTTAAAAAAACTGGATGAATTTTTGCGTCTGAGGTCAGTTTGAAATCAAAATCGTAATAGTGCGGGGCGATACTGACATAAACACAGCATATTTGATATGAATTTTAAAAAATAAGTAAACGTGAGCCTGCGATCATTTGAAAAGGAATAAATTGTCAGCCGATAACTTCAAAAAAATACTCGACCTTGATGGGTCGACACCTGAGCCCGCAATACGGTAAGGTGATACTGGTCAGCGGATACCCTGTTTTGACAGCTGTCAATTGATGACAACATTGATGTGCAATCAGCTTTCTCCTGGGCTCCCAAAGTAGCTAGAAAGTGTGAGAGTAAACATTGGTATGCCTGTGGTGCGGATGGGGGCGGACGGGCAGGGGGCGGGCGGGCGGGCGGTGTACGGTCACGTGATAACCAAATTTTCTGGGATGGGTAGATTTACTTACCCATGGTGCTCCGCAGAGCTCCCTTAAAAAAATAGCATCTATTATTCAAAGATAAGTTAGCAAATTTTAATTATTTTTTTCTATTCAAATGTTTTTAGAACAGAGTAGTTAAAACTGAACTTAGTAAACCGCAAAAAATATCTCTTAAATTGAGGTGGAAAAAACCATTGTTGTGCACAATGCTCTAATAAATAATGGAAAGATAAGCAGGTGTTGACTGGACGATTCCACACCCTAATCTAATGGACTAGAACATGATTAGCTGCGTGATTGTCTACTCAATGGGACCAACCATGCATGGCCACAGGACGACCAAGCTTTTACCTCGATACGTTTTACGGGGTCCTGTGGCTATACATTCGAGCCTCTAGTTGCGGACATCCGCTTCGTTATTACGGACAGCTTTCTTTGTTCCTGGACAAAGCCCTTACATTTTAACCCGCTTGATAAGGACACTTAAATCCTTTTTTGTAAGCGTCAGTATGAAAATCGCCGAAATCTTCCCTAACGTATCACTGTCTACAGGCAGCCTCAATAATTAATTTTATCTCTGATATGCTGGTCTTGGCTCAGAATCCCTGGATGAGTTTTCATTCTATGTAAACGTTCAGTTTGTCTGTGACGCTGTCTAATTAGTGAAGACCTGATGCTACCAAGCGTTTAAAACCAAGAGAGGATAAAGGGGACGGAGAAGGCATCCTCCATACACACCCTATTCCATAGGTAATTCGTCTCGAGTTATTTTTAGAATTGGGATAAAGTTACCTCGAGCACTGCGTGGATGTTTCGTGGAGGTTTCGCATAACTAAACGCCGTGCAAAACATGTGGGGTGAAAGGAAATGAAAGCGTAAAAGGATCGAGAGCATTCCTGAATATTGAAGCGAAATGAATCAGCGCTCACCTGGCAAAAGGGAATCGCTGGACTCTTTGACAACCCGTGAAATCAGTTTAACTCGAAGTTGTCGTAACCTCAGTGCTTTAATAAAATGAGAAATTTCGCCGGTCTATTGAAACCGGTCGTCTGTGCAATAAAGCAAGTAGGAAGCCAAGTGTTATTTTTGTTGAATAATAAAAGACTAATAAAAGAATAAATATCAAACCAGAAATTGCTCTCTTCAAACTGTAAATTATAAATGATCCTGAGAGACTATTCAGTGTGTTAAGGATTTCCCTGCTGTACTGTTAGCTCTATACAAGAAAGGAAGGGCAATTCTTTTTTAATTTCCGTTTCGCTGACTCAGCTTTAGCAGAAATCTCTCTATAGACGTTTTCGTGGATAACACGAATAGCAATAGCTAACAATATCGCTCTCCGCCATTTTGTTGTGCGTCAATTCGTGAAGGACGCGTGGCTCTGAGCGTGGGTCATCCACGCGGAACATATTCGCGCTATGTGATTGTCTAATCCCCCTCGGGATCTGTGGTCTTAAAAATAACTCGAGACGAATTACCTATGGAATGGAGTGTGTATGGGGGATGCCTTCTCTGTCCCCTTTATCCTTTCTTGTTTAAAACTTAATAAAGCTACTGGACTGTTTAAGCAATAGAAAACGTTTTCCGTGTTTGCATAGCCTGATATAAACACGAGAGGGGTTGGGAATATTCGAGACAGTTATGCAAACCCGAGACGAAGTCGAGGGTTTGCATAACCGTCGAAAATTCTCCCAACGCCTGGAGTGTTTATATCAGGCTATGTAAACACAGGAAAAAAGTTTTCTATTGCTTTTATAAAATAACTTTCCCGAGAAAGAAACGCAGAACTTTTTGTATGGCACTGATTAAAAGAGAAATTCTTATCAGTCGCAATTTCTTGTCCACGAAGTCATACAAGCGTAATCAGTTCTTGTTTTGCAAAAAGATGCTTTGCAAAATACGGATTTTTCTCGCTTAAAATGTCGGCTTAAGCGAAGAAAAATTGACACACCTTCTTTGTAACGATTTCCCAATTTCAGCCGACGAAGAATGGGTAAATAAAGTAAACTAGTCGAGTTTTGAACTCGAAACCTTTTTCAAATTCGTGCTCGCGTGATTAGAGCGCGAAAAGCAAAACATCTTGACGCCACAACCATGTTTACATACTCTCATGCAAACACTCCTCTCGGCCAATCATAGCGAGCGTACTATCTTAGTTATTTTATAAAGAAAAATAGTGCACATAACCGTTGTGACGATAAGATGTGTCTGGGTAGGGAGACTGGGGTACCTGGATTCTAAATGCACTGGGGGTGGGTTGGTTTCCAGTAGGCGCAGGTTGGTATCCCTGTAGTTCTTCCTCAGGATACGACTCATCACAATCGAGAATGCCCACGATCTGCCTAACTTTTGCGATGAACTTGCCATCGGTGTCAGGGAGATACGTGTGCTCGCTTAGGTAGTTGGGGAAGTCTCCGCGTCCGGTCCTTTTGCAGAGGGGACAGGATTTAGGGCGTGTTCGGAAGCGAGTGGTGGGCTTGGCAGCTTGTGCGAGCCTGCGATAGGAGGAGACAGCGGTCCGCATTACCTTAGCATCTTCAGTGGCACGGATTTCATTCAGCAAGGATTGGAGAGCTTGCGAGATCTCAGGCTTGATGGAGGCAAGTGTGCAAGAGCGGAGTTCAGTTCCGTACTATTGTGTCACTAGTTTTGGGAGGTCAGCATGCACAAGCCGTAACTTCAAGTGAGTACAATAAAATTCTCCAAAGTTGGGGTCATTTCTTCATCTTCAGTGAGGTGCACTCCATGGTGTTGTATGCTGTTGCTGCGTAGGAGATTATCAAGAAATCGTCCTTCAAGGAATTCAACCTTGTTTTCTTCACGACGAAGCGCATGGTCTGTTTTCAAATGCAACCAAGGCAGTGAAGTTTTTCAGGTACATTTTGCACTCTATGGCCATGACAATTACGTTTTTGAAAGGGAATTTATGTATTTTTAAATGTCTCATAGACGTTTTATAAATTTTTCTCTTCGGCGCTTAAGAGAAAAATTACAAAATGTGCCCCGATTTGAGATGGATTTGTGTTGCATTTTGCCATGTGCTCAGCCGATTTCGCTTGCTTGAACGGATCCACGAGCCAGATAGTGTTTTCCGAATTGCTTTAAAGGATTAACTTTTTGGACTTTGAATAAAAATTTTCAAGAAACGCCTTATCTGTCTATTATTTTGAGTTTGTTCATTCATAAAATTAGCTCAAAACACGATCGTGACTACAACATCCAAGCTGAATTTAAGCTTAAATGTTTCTCACATTCATTTATCACTTTTTGCGAAGATGTCAGGTTCAGGTTTTGGACACTTTTCGATACGCAGCTAATGAATTTTATTCGAAAATATTTTTTACTGTTTATTCTCGACTTTTAATATAAGAATTTGAAAAGCCCATTTGAAGCATAAGTTTACTGTGCAGAGGGTCAACGAGGCGTCGTTTTTAGAAGTGACAACTTCAAGTAGTTGCGAGGACGTCAATGGGTTTCATAATGTTACGTTTGGCCTGGGTGGTAAGGTAATAATATCCTGCTCAGTGTTTCGGTAAGATTCCCGGTCTCAACCTCTGAAAGCTTTCTCGGCTTTCGGGAGTTTTTCCACCGTTTGTCGGCCATTTTTTTAATCGGGCACGGGAACCTGAAATAAAATTGCATCACGTTGTTTACGAAGTTTGACTGGTCAGTTATCTGTTCTTCTCGTTGCAAATATGGTACTTTCGAAAATGAATAATCACAAGCATCGGACAAAGCAGACATATGAGAGTTACACGTTTCAAGCCCTTATGAGTTTCTGTATATAGTCAATTCATCCTCTTCAAACTCCTATAAAGAAATACAAAAAAAATTCAAGGCCTCTACAGCACCTAGCGTAGCTAATTGAACGTTCGGTAACCGAACTCTAATCGTTGGATTGACTTCGACTGGCTTCGGTAATAGAACTTAATCGAACTCACCCAAGAATTTTGCCAACTGAACACAATCGAACTTTCGGAAATCGAACACTTATAAAAAAACAATCGAACATAATCAGACACTGCAACAATCGAACATGAAACCAGTTTCATCCAGTTTCAAACAAGACGCTGTGGGAGCGTATATTTGGGCGTGGTCATACTAAGGGTATGATACTTTGAACATGCCTCATTGCAGCTAAACAACTGTCATCATATCTTACCAGAGAAGATAAATCCTTTACCCCACTTGTTTGCTGAACCACACAGCTTATACAGTATGTCCCAATCCACAACAAAAATCATGACAATGTTTGAAAATATGCACACATGCTTGGAGCCAAATTGCAACATAGGATAAGTGGTTACAGCCCGGAGAGTAAGTTTTATCTCAGCTCCACTGATACTGACACTTTGAAGAAGATTGACTGACATATGTGGTTTCACACCCATCACATTGTACAGTGTATTCCGGTTACTAACAAGGGCAAAAAAAGTTCCTTAAGTCCAGTATCCACAAGGATTAATAAGAGAGTAACACATTGCATAAACTGCTGAAGGGCAGCACAGTTTACAGGTACATTGATAACTATTAACATTTGATATACCACAATGTTCAACATTGCCTGAGAAAAGATGAGGTTCAAAGGTGGCAAGGCAATATGGACACCTTTAGGTTCATATATATCCTCATTCCTATGTAGAGTCTGAAAATATTGTACTGATTTATGCATGGATGGTATTTCCAACAATACACATGTCCCTTCACTATGACTGTTATGATACATATCTCTAGCATGAGAATCAAATACATTATATTCCCGAGGCTCAATGCTGTAGATACCAACACCAATAATTGCCACCGTTAAAATGAATGAGTTGTAGTTCAGTGCCAAGAGTGTTTCAAATGCTGTACCCTGTGAGTGGCATATACAGTGGTGATACTCCTCAATTCTGGGATCATTATGGATGTTACAAGTGTAACTGTCACGGTATTCAAGGTGGAAAAATTGCTCAAACACTGTAACCATTCTTGGCAGTTCTGTTAACATTAACATAGATTGTCTTGCAAGCAGTGACAGACTAGAATATAACTGAATACCAACAATCATTATTTGAGTCATATCATCAACTGAAGTCATCTTTGTTATCTTACTGTAAATTAAAGCGCACAGACTCATTGCGACGCATTGTTGTCCAGCATTTTCCCCAAATACTGTAACATTTCCTTGACAGTATGGAGCAAGAATTGTTTTTGTAGCATCTACATAAACTGATGGTCCTGGATTCTTCTCGATATCGGTACAAACCTTAAATTGGCCAAAATTAACCCGGTGATTCAAACTGTTGTAAGCACTATAAAATGGATAATTGCATGTACAAAGGGGCAAATTCTTACTTAGAAGCCTATTTGGATATCTCGTTCCACCTAAATAGCCTGTGCTTTGATGCTTAGTCGACAGATACACCTTCCCTCGTTTACGAATTAGTTTTGGAGTTGCCCTTTAAGTAAAAACCTTACGCTGTTACAGTTACTTCTGTTCCGGTTTAAGTGTAAACCTTTTCTATTTTTAACGTAATTATGAATTTCAGACGACAATGGTGTATATTTCCGAGTACTCTTCCATACAAAAAGTGTCAATTTCCGTGTTTTCTGTAACAAAGATTTTACTTTGTTCATCGGTAGTCTTCTAGGTGCATGACTTGCGTTGAGAGAAATGACTAACCTGATTTAAACCAATGGAATTGTAAGTTCTGTTATAAATAAATTTCCCACTACGAGATCTCAATTTAACTTCTTTTATTTCCTTCTGTACAACTAGCTAATTACCTTCTCTTGTCGTCACCTCCCTGCCATCAAACACTTTAACACAAAACTTGCTGATAATGCAAAATCCCGACGCACAGCATCATACGATGAAAAAACACAACACGCAATACAAACACAAATACATTAACCGTCACCCTGCTAAACAAAATTGAAATAATAAAAAGAGTTGTTGCAGTTATCACAGTAGTTCCAAAAGAAGCCTCAGTCCCTTTTGGTTTCAATTGTTGACAACCGTCTCTTCCTTCATCGGAACAGATTTTTATCACAGGCAACTCGTTGTGTTCCGCAATGCAAAAATCAAAATCACTATTGCCACACTGATAACCAGCTACACAAATCTTGCGACTCTCAAACTTGTTAAACATTCCTCTGTTCAAACTCTTATTCATTTTACACGTACACTCCTGATATTTCGATTTGTCATTGCGTCTATGGGGTCCATGAGTCTTTGATGTCATTGAATGTCTTGATAATTTCCTTTGTTTTTCTTTGAGTTCGCGGACCAGCCCACTCCGAAAACACTCAGCGTTATTTTTTAGTGTGGGCCTACCGCGAACAGTGTTTGCATTTGTAAGTTTAACCGGGGATAACATAATTGAACAATATATTCAACTTTCAACTTTCAACTTTATTTAAATTGCGAAATATAACAAAAGATACATTGGGACTGGCCTGCAGTTAGCGAGGCCATTCGAGACAGGCCAGGCTACATAATTTACTACAAACTAGGCAAATACAAAGAAATTAGACGTTATATAAGTGTACACATTTTACAGTAAATAAATACTATTCTACTTAAATACAAAGACAATATTAAAGTGACAAGAGAATTACTTTTTCATTTTCACAATAATCGTATCCACATCAATATAGGAGTCTTCAGTTTGAAGGATATCGAGTAGCATTGTTTTTAGTGATCTTTTAAAATCTTTTTTCGGTCTTTCTTTAAGAATTTGAGGTATCCCATTCCAAATTTTGACCCCAACACGCGAAAAAGCATTTTGTTTGACGTTGAGTCTAGATTATTTAGTATAAAAATGTTCAGAGGTTGAGGCACGTGTATTGTAAGTATGAACACTAGAAATTCGAGAGAAGAGTTTCAAAATATTATCCGGAGCAGTGTTTTTATTTACATCATACATAAGACTACAAACGGATTCATAATATAGAGACTGTAAAGGTAGAATTTTTGCATTGACAAAAAGGGGTATTGCGTGGTCGTTTGTTTCAGCAAAATATATTAAACGCAGTGGACGTTTTTGAAGGACAAGGATTTGGTCAAGGAAAGTCTTACACGCGTTGTCCCAAGATATAAGACCGTAAGTTAGATAAGGTGTAATTAGTGACTGATAAATATTTAGGAGGGTGCAAGTGGGAACAGTATGTCTTAATCTCGCAATTAGCCCAATTGTTTTACTTATTTTGTTTGCAACAGAGTGAATATGGATCTTCCAAGATATAGATTTTCATCGATTAACAGTCCAAGATATTTAATAAAGGTTTTGCCTTCAAGGGTAACCTTTTTATTGCTTCCATTGTCAAAAACATGAGCCTGGGGATCATAGTTGAGTTTTTTTTGGTATGGACGGAAAATTACATAGTTTGACTGAAAATTCAGAGAAAGTGTATTTGAAGTCAGCCAGTTATACAAGTTGTGTAATTCTGCATTTACTGTTAGTTCCAGTGTCTTTAAATCTTTGTGAGCAAAAAGGAAAATTGGAGTTTGCTCGAACAATATTGGATGTCATTTATATAAAGCAAGAAAAGAAGTGGGGTACGCCGCAATTGATATTTAGTTTACTAGATATATGAGAGCCAATTTCTGTAGTTTGTGTGCGATTTGATAAATAAGAGGAAAACCATTGATTGACAATTTCACGGAAGCCATAATAATTTAGTTTATCAACTCATATATTAACACGTTCCTCAAAACGCTGCGGCCAAATGTTATCCAAACTGCTTCTTACTGCTGCTTCGAAAAATTTCGGATCAAACGATATCCAAATCGTCCCTCATTGGATTATCCACTCGACCTAACAAAATCGACCAATCACAAAATAAGGAAAAGAAAATGGACGTAAAATGAAGAAAACAGTAAATTCAGATGACCTCTTAAGAAACATGCAATTAAAACTGTCTTTCTATGATTGGTGCATTTCGATCCTCTCGTCAAAAAAATGTCAGACGCCAATCATCTTAGCGGACCTCTTAGGAAACGAAAGCTTACTTCAACGGGTTCAAAAGGTCATTGTTTGTGATTTGTGATTGGTGGATTTCGATCCGTTTTGTGAGTTTCTGTGTTTCAAGGTTCGTTGCTTGTGATCTTATTGTGACCAAAACCCGACGTTAATATTCCAAACATTCTTGATAGATTTCATCCCTACACTTCAGACTTCCAAATTTCGATGAGGCAAAAATGCTGAAGATTCAGATTAAGTTTTGATATCGTAAAAGTGCGATAAAGTGCCGTCTGCTAGCAGAGCTTAAGACCACGGAGTATTCGCTGCAGGACTATGGTTTGATATAAGCAGTACAGGGAAAACCCTAACCCGAAATAGAAGCTCAGTGCTTAACCCTAATCGGTATTGTTAGTGCTTAACCCTAATCACTATAGTCAGGGCTCACTCATATAAATGAAATTACTTTGTGTAGGCATCACAAGGTATCCAAGGGCGGTTTGAGAAATGGTAACAAGCGTTTACCATCGTAAATAAGGTCTATTTCAAACACGAGTACGCAAAGACGTCACAGAGGGCGACAAACGTGAAATTAACAATTCTTAAAGCGATGGTTAAAGACTACCACGAGTGTTCTTTTGCCGTCGGTTTTTGTAAAACGTTTTAAGTAAAAAAGGGGAGACAGGAGTCCAGCTCTAAAGGTTACTGACGGAAACTGACGGCCGAACTTGGATATTTGCAGCGTGAACTGGTGCTTGTGCTTTGGCCACTAACCGACAAAGTTGAAGTGTAAGTCTTAATATGTCCATTACCGCCTTTAGGCGCTGCCTATAATTAGGGACCTTAAGCAACGACAACGACGACGACGACAACAACAACAACGTCAAAAAACAATTGCTTTTATGAGCAAAACAACTGCTCTGCCCATGATCACGCTTTTTAGTACATTTCTTTGACGTCCACTGCGACGTCGTGAAACGACTACGACGTGAAACCTCCCAATTCTACGTTTTGTGGAGGACATGGACATATTACGACAAATGTTCCCTTCTCTATTTGAACATAGATGAAGCCCTTACGAATTCAACTCCAGGTTTTGTCCACTGGAATCTGGTCGAGAGTATTGGACATGTGTGGAATTGAGCGGTTCAAAATAGACGCGATAAAGTTTGACTGGACGCAGATTCATTTTTTGTAGTGATGTTTTCACCGCCGTCGTTGTCGTCGTTGCTTAAAGTTCCTAGTACTGTACAAATATCTTATCAAGACAATGAATTTTGCCTGTGTATCAGTGCTTTTACTGCGCCGTTCATGTTTCCCAATATCATGAATTTTGAATTTATCAATTTTGAATCACTTTAATTTAGCAATAAAGTTTTCAATTAATTCTAGATATATTGAAATATTTTTGTTTAATTTTTAACTGCCTCACATACATGCTAGAAGGAGATTTTTACGATTCAATTGAACCTGGATGCGTTTTGTCCTTCTGCCGAACAAAATCGAACTAATCGCGTGGATTGAGTTCGATTGGTTCGAGTTCGGTAATCGACCTAACGAGTTCGAGTAATCGAACTCACCGAAAAGTTCCAGTTTGATTGTGTTCAATCACCGAGCTAATCGAACAACAATCCGACCGATTGGGTTCGATTGATTTTTGGCTCGGTTTTTTAGATTACGTAGGTCAGGCTGCGGCAAGCATTAGTTACCCTAAGAAAGATATGTTTACTTTTGCTTTAAATTGATGTCGCAAATATTCATTAACATTTTTTAGACAATTATGATACATTAGAAAACGAGAAAAAAGGCTGTAGGTTTTATACTTCGATTTGATTGCTTAATTCATGAATTTTATCAGTTATTGTTTCAGTTTATTGTGGTGTTTAAAAGGTTCTTTGTCGGAGCAGTTGAATTAACGCGAAACGGGGCAATTAAAAACTTTAACGCACCCACAAGTTTAAAGAGTAACCTGTAGTGGGCCACTCGTTTGCTATGTCACCAAAATCCATTTTCCATTTATAATATTGATCACCAGGGATACCCCGTTTTATTCCAATCCCATGGTCTGCTTCTGAGCATATATCCGCTCCGCCTGCGCCGATCATCATCATTGCCATGTTTGGGTCGAAGTTAGTGGTGTACAAGTACTTGAAGCAATAAAACCCGATTTGAGAACATTCGTTGCTATTTGCCTGTCCAAGTCCTTTAGTATCGTTGTACATACCTCCATATGTAACGTTACAGATACTCTTACACTTATATTTGAAATATTTTTTAAAATTGCCTGTGGAAATTTTATTTCTCAATGTCTGGCCACCCAGGCAGTCATCTGTTGTCTGCAAAAGAGTAGTGTGAGGATCATCACTACGTGTAATCATTAACTCATTGCCGCTAACCAGCCAGAACGCAGGAGATATCATGTCCTTGTTTGTAGATGGATCAAGTGCTTTTCCTTCATTGTCTTTATTCTTAAAAAACCACCAGCTGAGATGGCTCCAGTGTTTAGTGTTGTCAGCGTTTGAGACTTGAGCAATGAGGATCCAACCTTGGCCCTCTAACATAAGGCAATACACCTGCAAATTAACTCAAAATAAATATGGCCTCCTTTGAGACGCATTTCCATTCTCCTTTTCGGATAGTGTTAGATCCGGTCACACTGAGCACAAAAATCCGGCAGTCCGGGCCACAACCAGATCTGGAGAATTTAATTTCCTGCAATCTGATTGGCTCAGAGCTCAACCAAAACATTGACTTGACCGCGAAAGGACTAAGCTCGACAGAAATGTCGAACATGGAAATTTCGAAGCAAATAGCTCTCGGGTGCTTTGGGTGGAATTTACCTTGAAGAAACGTAACAGCAATATGGAGCCGATTAATCGAGATTATTTTATGCGTCATAGCGTTCGATTTACAAATATCAAGATGTTAATGATCAAGAACGTTTTCTGTAAACACCCGTGGATTTCTGATAATATTTCAAGAGACCCGAAACAACTCTACGACTCCGATCGAATTGGAAGAATAGGGAATTTGAATACCGCGATACATTTTAAGTGGAAAGGTCTTAAGAAGTCCTCTTTGGAGTAATTTCTGCGAGCACAGCTTCGACCTGGAGAAGTCTGTTCTATTCTACTTCGGGCGCATCTTAATGCTAATTATTCTTGCTGTATATAAATTTCCAGTATATTGCATCATCACACATCTTGGAAATATGCGAAGGTCAAAGAAATAATTAAAATTGGTGGAAATTGCACTCGCGAAGAGTCGTAAGCAGTCATTAACGAACTTCTATCTTTGCTTATTGCAAATTGCAAAACCCCATTGCGGATGAAAATAATGCAAGTGGACGTATTTGTTTTCTAATAGCTGTTAAATAGTCACTGAGAGGACGTAAACATAATTTGACAATTCTATTTTGAAAAACAGCTTTGACAAATGAAATAGATGGGCAGACTTTACTATTGCTTGTGTCAAAATATTTAATAGAATGATTTTTCACAAGACAAGAAAATATTATATATATTTTTATCTCTATATTTTTAAAAAACATTTGTTCCTTTAAATTATTGTTATTAAGGGGGTGCATCAGTTGAGACGACTGATGCGGTTCTAAATCTCAAAGGAAGGTGTCACATTGGGATGCAGGACTAGTACAGCATCACAGTAGTCTTTTGGCACGAGAGATTTCATAATACCACGTGTCTACTACCTAGGATATAGTAGTTTTACAGTAGATAGGAATACCACGACTGTAATATGGGTTACAGACGGATGCAATTCTAGTTTAGTCACATTCTCACTTGGCATTGCAGTAGCAACATTCAATTTTATTGCACTAGCAATCATTTCCCTCCCTCCCTCCCTGTAGGGTTTTGTTTTGTTCTATTCATAGACAGTGTGATCACTTTTATTATTTGATGGAGGTTCTTTTAATTCTTTTTTAGTTTGGTCTTCCTTATTTGTTGGAGCACTTTATTTTTATACTAAATATTACCTTTTAGTTATTTACCATGTATTGTATTTTGTTATGTTATTTTTTGCTGTCTTGTATCCCAAACAATGCCTGGGTTTCTGAGTTTTGTTGATTTAGTGTAAAAACTATGCCATTATAGTAATATCCTGTCACTGTAGGTGGAATAAATACACACTGAAAAACTTAGTGGGCACTAAGCCTCTTTTATTATTAGATTATGTTTGTCCTGTATCATACAGTCAAACCCCTCTTTACGGACACCAGCTTAATGTGGACTCCCTGTTATTATGGGAGGTTTCCTTGGTCACTGGGGGAAACCCTTAATTTTTCTCTTTATTCAACCCACTTAATACAGACTGACCTGTTAAAGTGGATAATGGACGTTATTCTCCAATGAACAGATTCTCATATAAAGTCAACCTTGCTAATGCGCACACTTTATAGTCCATTGTGTGCTGTAGTCAACCTCTGTTTTTTGCAGGGTAAAAAAACCTTTCACTTAATTGACATCATGTCCATGTTCCCAGCATCATAGTACACCAAAATGAATGAATTCTTATTGTGCACAACAATAATAGACCATTACATCAATCGAGTTATGTTAAGAACAGGTTTTGGTAAATTTTACATAATTTTTGGATCGATTTTCTCGAGACTTCCGTGTGTTTTCATGGACACAATCTGCAGAATAAGAGCTTAGTGATGTTTAAAGATGTTAGGTGTTATGCTGTAGTATTTCGATTAAAAAAGTGTATTTTTGACTTTTATAACAGGACCCGCTTGACATGGACACCTCCGTCACATAGACACTTCGTAAGTATATCAATGTCACTACGGCTGAAGTTCTTGTGCACGCATTCATAAATTCAAAGCTGGATTTCTGCAACTCGCTTTTACATGGTCTTCCCAAGTATGAAATTAACAAACTACAAAGTGTCCAAAACGCTGCAGCGCGTGTGATTGCCTGCTTAAGCAAGTTTGATCACATAAGTGATACTCTAATGGAGTTGCACTGGCTACCAGTGGAGCAAAGAATAATCTTTAAGATTAATCTTATTTGTTTTAAGATACTCAACAATTTAGCTCCTGATTATTTGGTTGACCTAATCCATGTTTATGAACCTGCGAGGTACCTCCGATCATCTTCAGACAAGTGGCGTCTTGTTATTAAACCCTATAACTTAAAGACATACGGTTTCAGGGCTTTTTCAGTCATTGCCCCTATACTCTGGAACGATTTGCCTGTTGACATTAGGTCGATCGATGATGTAAATAAGTTTAAATCTAAATTGAAGACCTTTCTTTTTAAACGAGTTTATGAACTATCTTAGCTTTTTTATTTTGTATTTTTGTGACTATGTATATATGTATATATATAATGATTTTAGGATTTTTATTTTTTGTTCAGACCTTTTTGAAGTAATGTAAAGCGCTTAGAACTTAAAAGTATAAGCGCTATATAAATATTTTATTATTATTATTATTACACTTCCTATGGCCCATTCAGTGTCCATATCAATGGGGTTTGACTGTAATTATGAAATATATGGAACAGTTTTGTAAGATCGATCATTTGGTGTCCTGTTTAAAGGGTATTTTCAGCCATTCTTCACATTTTCCACCTTGAATGTCATAACCTAAGGCAAAGTAAAGTAACAAATAAATAATAAATTAAAACAGTATATGAACAATCAGCACAGGCGTTTTTTTAGGTACCTCAATCTGTGTACATTTATTTCATTGAAATGAAAGGGTTATCCAGGGATGACCAACGCTCTTGTTATATTGAGCATTGACATTTTAATTCAATAATCGAAGATTATATAAGTGGGAAACTGGTTTGCACTGTTGCATACTGTCTCATGACAGTGATTAATCAATCATCATCATTTCAGTCAAGATTTTTGTATTCAAAGCTATCATATCTTCTCTTCAATTCCTTCTTTGAAGGCCTTCCGTTAAGGTTCTGCAGGCAATAGCAGTTTGAGGAGCGTTCCTTCCACACAAACAGTTTTATTCCTTGCTTTCTCCCTTCAGAGGTTTTGGGGTCCAAGTTACCCGAATTTAAGTGATAAACGACTCTCCTACAAGCCGAACACACTTTCTGTGGATGGATTTCTCTGGAGTCCAGCTCAATATCTACGCCAAAGAAGTTCAAAAGTTCACTTCCAAGGGCTGTTTTGTCGCAGTTCTGGGCAGTTTTGACTTTAGAGAAAGTTTTCCCACACAAACGGCATCTTCTTTCCAAAAAACCAAGGTGCTTTTCCATCCGACTGAAGAATAACGTAAAATAAACATGGCGTTACAAAAACCCGCACGTTAACTGCGCAACTGACTTTTGCATCTTTAAAAGCACAGCACTATGTGAAACTGCTTTGCACTACACCAAACAGACCACTATCAACAAGCAAATTTTATGTAGATTTCAAAAAAATTTTTTCCAAAGGTCCAAAAAATGACACTCACCTTCTTTTTTTCGATGTTTTGCTCCTTGTCGGGCATTTCGTTGAGCAGAAACACTCTTGTGCTCGGTCGTTTTACCTCCCAAAAACTCATAAACGTTTTTCGGACGCCATTTTTTCTTCACACCCCGGATTCCTCATTGTCTAAAGAAAGAGCTCTCAAAGTACTGTGGCAAAAAGGCACTTCCAGGAGTAGCAAAGAGCCTCAAAGTGACTTTCCTGCGTGTTCCTCGGTGTGGGCGCCATTTTCAAAATTTGGGTGACGTCATCATATATCCAGATCTAGTTGTGGCCCGGACTGATCCGGTGTTGCTGTTTTTATACTCAAGCAGGACTGGTATAAGAAATTTATTTTCTGGGTGGCTTTTTATTTATTTGTATTTTTGAGAGGATCACAAGTGTATCAGTAAATGTAATGCAATGTTACGTGTCACCTTCGTAAAACATATTATCTCATCGCTACTTGTGTCAAATTATATTATTTTATCTTATCTATGGACAGTCTTTCACAGACGAATATCTACAGACTTATGATCTTTGGTGGTTGCACATCAGTAAGGTGGCTCTCCGGGTGTTTTCTATTCAACCCCAAATTCCCGTTTATAGTTTTGTAAGCTCATCATAGCGAACGGAACAGTTTCTTGTTATGTTTTCGATAAAACCTTAAAAAAAACACGCTTACCGGAAAAATTATGGAGTGACCAGCTGTTATGGAGTAAACGGCTATTTGCTAAGTTCCATTAGTTGCACTTGGATTTGATTGTAGCAATTTATCACACGATTCTGCTTCTAGAAAAATAAGGAAAACAAGTCTTAATGCACATCAAGAGGGCCTCATTCTCTCTTATGAAGATTCAACACCGAGACCTCGTCATTTGATCTAGCCTCCACCATGACTCTCTTCAATAAAGGAATCTTATGACCATGATGCGTATGAAAATAAATGGCATGCTCGGGCTGTCATAATACCACCTACTAAACAATATTTTCTTTTTAAGTCTCCTTGACTCATGGAAAAGAATTGGCAACTGACTCATAGAAATGATGAGCTGTATTACTTGATTTACATTTTTTCATCGCATTGTAATATCCATTTAACGGACTTTCGTGTTACAGAGTTTCGTGA